AAACCCACCCATTAGAATAGCTATCAATTTGATGTGATTAGTGGAAGCTTCTTTCGTCGGTTTTCTAAGGCCTTTGGCGAGATAACAAGAGATAAATTGAGGGGTTGCACCTCAACACAACGATTTTTGGCCACTCAACCAATAGGGACGAATGGTCAACTTCTGTCTAGCACAAATAACTGCATCGATGACTTCAAGTGGAAGTAAGGTGAAATCCGAATGCCAGTGACTTCACAGTAGTTGGCTCGAAAAGCAATCATAAAGGAGATCAACGTTGCCAAATGAATCTGCAAAGTGAATTGGATTGTTTGAATCAAATCTCGCTAGTGATGTTTGCATCTGCCCGTAGGCTTGTTGATTCTATTCTATTGCAATTGGTCAGTTTGGTGCTAAAGATGGTGCAAGTGTAGCGTCCCCTTACCTCTCTCTAAGTTAAACAGCCGGATCATTGCAGTTTTTGGGAATTTTGGTGCCTCCCATTCGAGACCACTGTAGTTTATAGAGGCCTTTTACTATGCCCTAACTTGCGAACTGCAAAAGGAGCAAATTGCGCCGATACCTTAAGTCTCTTTTCGAATTGAATTGCCGTGCTTAATGCAATATTATGAGCGATGTAACTTGTAGCCTGGTGTGGCCTCCCCAGACTTCCCTAAGGACGAAAGAATACATAATACTCGGGCAGAATACATATATTCAGCACAGATGAGGGATTCGGGCCACTGGCATGGCTTGGAGGCCAGCCCATCTGGCTTGGTACAAAAAGGCCAATTCGAAGTTGCTCCTCGCCAATACCGAGGGATAAGCAACCATCGTAATGCACTGATCCTTACGCCTAACGGTGTTTAAAATCCGACTGAGTGTCTCAACGCATTATTACTTTGAGCGTTGTCGTCAATTACATTCCTGGGTACTGATCATTATAACCTCTTTAGGTAAATATATTTTTAATCCTGAGGCAGTGCAATGATGGATGTGCTAGTGAGGGTCTCACTGATGGCTCAAGCAATGAATACTTGCGATAGTGCTAGTGTAAGCAGTGGATAAATTGACTGCTCTAAGGTCTGCAATGAAAAACGATGACTGTTCTCACGAAGCTGTTTTGGATGGTAGAGATTTGCATGTAGCATACCCTACTTTATTTTATGTACGCTTGACTTCCTACTTCCAGTGTCACATATGTGGCACGGGTCATAAATTAGCATATCGCAACTGACTGAGCCAAGTTGTTGCTCCCAAAGACAAGCAAATTTTTAAAATCAGTAAAAGGCGGTGCAGCCTGACCATGTACCGGGGCAAGCAGCACTTTTAGTTCTCTTCAGCAAGGATTAAGTTGGTTAAAAAATCAAATCAGGACTGTAAAACACCTAGAATACTAGTTGTCGACACTTGGCTGAAAACATGACAGTGAATGCGTTAGGAAATAATTAAAGAGATAGATCCAAATCACACGAATCTCACATTCTTTCAACAAATAAGGGAGCGAAGAAACTTGTCGATAAATGAGCCCAGGTTCATTAACAAGTTGGAGAAGTAAAAAACTTTTAATCGAGTTTGAGTATTTCCAAATTTCCTTTCCTCAAAACAGACATA